AAATTCAAGTATTGATCGCTTACCACCTGAACAACGAAAATCAATCGGTCGAGTAGATGCATTTATAATGGGATAACGTGATGCAATACCATTACCATGATACTTTCCATAAGTTGCATCAAATTTAAAATATTTCAAAGAAAGATCATGACAAAATTTTATCCAATTGTTACCATTTTCTACTTCCTCAACAGCCAATAAATCAAGATCGAGTGGTTTGAGAATTGAAACTAACTCATTAACATTATTATTATGTCCTACGGCACTATTAAATGAATGGACATTAATTGTCACTAGACGAAATGTTTTAGGTATTGCTGTTTGTAACGCCATTAAAGAATATTATTTTCTTTCTTCGGAACATAAAAATAACGCATTCGTATTCTTTTTTCTGAGTCATTATATATATATATTTGATGTCCAATGCAATTCAAAATACTTCACGCAATACTATAAAAGATGTCGTACTCGATAGAAAATAAAGTTTCTGGTGTATTTTTTTGTTATCAATCAGAAAAATAATACTTCAATAATATTATCATTCTACAAATAGTTTTTTCATGTTTGATTCAAGGGCATTGATTAAAACTAAATCATTTCAGTTTAAATTCAGCTAAAACACCATTGTGATCAGTCACTCCTTTAGTATCAATTATTAAACATTCGGTCAAATTCCATCGTTCATTAATACGAGGATGTACAAAGATATAATCAATACGTGTTCCATATGCACATGTTGCTAGTTGTTCATCTTTTATTTTCGGATTTTTTAATTTAAATGCATCTTGATAATCCCATTCATGTGTTATTAAATGAGTTAAATCAAAACGAGGTTTTTCCCATCCAGATTTTTTTCGCTGTCCGAAAACAGTTTTACTAAAATAATCATCTGAATAATCATCTCGTGTTAAAGAATTCATATCACCCATAAGTATATCAATATTTTGTTTATGAGGTTTAAAATATTCGATTTGTTTTAATCGAGGATCTTCAGCAAAATGATCTAAATGTGTAACACCAAATGTTAAATTATCAAATCCATCTAAACGACATTGAAGTAAAGCTCTTGTACCACCTGAATATGAGAACGAATCTGATTGATTAGAATGAAATTTAATTGGATGACGTGATGCAATACCATTAGCAAAGTAATCTTGACCACATTGTCCATGAATAAAATGCTCAAAACCAAGATTTCGACAAAAATTCGTCCAATGATTATTATTTTGTATTTCTTCTGTAGCAATTAAATCAAGATTTAATGGTTGAAGAATTGATACTAAATCAATAACATTACTATCATAATTTTTTGGATTACGAAATGAATGAACATTGATTGTTGCTAAACGCAACACCGACATCTTACAAACGAAAATAAAGTATATTCTTTTACTTCCTTTTCTTTTTATTAGTTCTGTGTCACAACCAATGATAAGAAAGAATCGTATTGTTTTTTCGTCAATACAATGGCGGTAGTTGCTAGTATTTATATATTCCGTTCTTTGATAATACGTCTGATATGATACAGAATTCAGTGGGTGTGGATGGATGTTCATTAGTATTCCATACCCACACCCGTTTTGTGAAACACGAACTAAAAGGAGTGTTGAAGTGTTTAAGGGCAGAAATTTGGACCCACTCCCCCCCGCCCCCCCCCACTGACGTGACCGACAAAAAATCACAAACGTCACCGACAAAACATTACAGACGTGACCGACCGAACATCAAAGGCGGCGATTAACATGATATCATAGACCGTCACTGACGTGACCGATAGGGCAACACAGACGTGACCGACAGAACATCACTGACGTGAGCGACATAAGCAGCAAAAGTAGCCGAAATATCATTGAAAACCATGACAAACGTGACCGACAGAGCTTAGTAAACCATCACTGACGTGACCGTCAAAGCATGCTAAAAAAAATAACAGACGTGACCGACAGAACGTCACAGAGGTAATCCACGTGATATTATAGAATATCACAGACGTGATCGACCGAGCATAGCAAACCATCACTGACGTGACCGACAGGGCATCATAGATCATCATAGACGTAACCGACAGAGAATCGCAGACGTGACCGACAGATGTTCTTTTGACCTCGTCACTGACGTGACCGACACGTGTTCTTTTGACCTGGCCACAGTCCTGGTCGACAAGGTATCATAGGTCTCTATATAGGATGTGGGTGTGGGTCTGGGTGTGGGCATAAACGACCAAAGATTACGATATCCACACTCACACAACTGTTAAAACGCTAATAAAGCGAGTACATCATATATAAATTATTTCTTTCCTATATTTCTATACCTTTATACCGCAGAATGCGGCAAAATCCGCTTCATAGAGATACAATTAGACTATATTCTTGAAGGTAGAAACAGCAGTTAGATCGTGTTTCACATTTTAATCCCGCAAGGGATTGCGCTAACAGCTTTTTTATTATGCTTCACTGTTCTACGAAGCATAAAAAAGAAAGATACATGAGTTTTGTAATTATAAAAAGAGGTTTTATTTCAATATCTTGATTATATTCCAATTATTAAGATCCAAGACAGTTTATTTTTTTCTTCTTAATTTCACAAATTAAATAAAATAACTTAGTAATTTAAAGTCTAGTAAGTGTTTCCTACTTTACTTTCTAATCATAAAGAGCGTCATCGAGCAGGGGCCATGGTCTCTTTTTGTCCTGCATCACGCCTAAAAGTAACAACACCAATGACATTCATTAGTTTTTCTAGCTGATCGATCATGAATGATGGTAATATAGTTATTTCAATCAATAGTGTTATTGTTGAAGGTAACCAAAATCCTAGATAAAGTGATGAAACAATCCACAGTTGCGAAACCATTTTACGGTGACGTTTCCAATTTATTGCTTGCTGTCGAGACATCTTTTGATAAGTCACTCGAATAACTAATAAAAGATTTGTAAGTATAATGATAGTGATCGGAACAACGATATTGAATATAAAATCAAACTGAATAAGAACACTTATTTCATAATGACATGGGTGCCTAAACTAGACAGAAAATAATCGGTATAAAATGAAATATCCATTTTTTCCATGATACTTGTAATATTGTATGCGGATAGAAAATAATAAAATGTCGTTCGATTGATATCCATGCCATTAGAAATAAGCCGATGCTATTCAATGAGTATTCACACCATGTCCACCATACATAAAATATGTTTGATGTAGGCCAAACACTCCCCACATAATAATAACTCATTGGCATTGGTAGATTAAGAATTAATTGAACGAAATTACAAATAAGTAAAACAAGCCATCCATGGTTTTTCGATTTTGAACGAACTTGATGGTTCACAGCAAAGTGTACAAAGATCATAAGTGATAAAACGATTGCTAACACTTCGAAAATCAACATTGTAATAAATTTAATTATAAAATACATGATTTTATATGTTATAAGAAGAATCAATAGAAGTATAAAAACACTTTGTATACAAAGTGACAGGAAGAAATAAAAGTATAAGCTCTATAATTATTTTTACAGTCACTCTTACGAGACAAGCTTCTTATCATGTAAAGATATCCATCGTTTTGATGAGTTGTATTGCAGAAATTCACGTCATAATGTCACTTATCTTATGACTATATTATTTTCTATTTAGTAATATTCGATCCTTCCGAATAAAAAATCAAACTAAAAAATTTTCATTTAGTTAAACGGTAAGCATTTCTCATTACTACTACAATCGATATATACTAATTTTATTTATTTTAATATCATATTCATATAAAGACAAGCAAATATGCAAGGCCATTTTACTCTGTTCGCCATTATAAAAGATGATAACGACGTTTCAGTCGTGTTTTTCTCTTTCTTTTATTTCTGCTACATTACTTAAATTTAATTTAGAAAATACCTCGTGCAATATTCTATAGAATTCATCAAAAAAAAAATAAACTGAAATGATGTGAAATCCGTTTCGACAGGAGAAAAGAAAAACCAGTCTTGTGAAAATGGATCTTTTTGGAGTATAGGATTGATATTCAGATATAGAGGGTGTGAGTGTGGGTGGCACACAACTGAAATGTTATCTACCCCTTCATCCACATCCCCATCCGCGTGTGCCACGACACTACCTACCCTAGTCATGAACATCTACATCCAAATCTTGCTACTGTTAAGAAATATCATAATCTTTTAAATTACAGAATAACATGGCATGATGAAAGTTAAGTTTCTTTTATCATTTCTTAAGAGAATAAGATGAAATAAAAATAGAACTTTCATTTGTTCTCTATTTTCTAAAAAAGTAATATCGAAATAAATAGAGAAGATAAAAGAATTATTCGACATCTAAGAATAAACTTCTAGAAATATTTTTGATCATACTAAGAAATTGGTTTTTGTTTTACTAGCACGACATCTTATCTGAAATATTACGAACACCCATTTCGGCATTTATCAGTCTATCAGATTATCCTTTTTAACCAAATTATATTGACTTATTAAATCCTGGTTCTATTGGTGATGGTAAAATAAAATTACGTTTACATTATTTAGATGAAGGAAATAAAAGTAGCCCTGAAATAATTTTATTATTACATGGTGAACCAAGTTGGAGTTATTTGTATCGTCATTTTATACCAAAATTAAAAAAATATCGAGTGATTATAGTTGATTTAATTGGATTTGGTAAATCGGATAAACCAGCGAATAAAAATGATTATACTTATCAAAGACATGTGAGCTGGATAAGAGAATTTATTGAAAATCTCAATTTAAATAATATTACATTATTTTGTCAGGTAAAATGTAGGAAAAAAATAATTATTACTTGAAATTAATTAATTTTGGATATCTGATGTAGGATTTGGGTTCTTTAGTTGGTTATGGAAAAATTTCTAAAGGTTTTATTCAATGGCTTGATTTTGCATCGCAACAAACGACAACGGATGTAGGTCGTGTAATCAAATCTGGAGTTATTAGAGATATGAAACAAGAAGAGATTGATGCATACAATACTCCTTTTCCAAATGAACAATATCAATATATTACAATAAATGGTAATAGGTACCAAAAACCAATCACATACCATAATCTTTGATGCTGGATATCTCTTACAAGAAGATAAGCCGCATGAAATTGTTGAACATCTTATCAAAGATAATCCTTTAATACTTGCACGATTATAACAGCCATGAGACTTGAATAAACTTTTTTTTAATTTTGTAGCAATATGAAAAAACTATTTCATCATTGATATTAGAAAGAATTGTACCACAAATTTAACACAGAGGTTTTGAATCTTTGCCTTTGATGGAAGACACAACGATAATGAATTATTCGTTTTCGAGTTTGATTATTAATTGAAGATAGCGTCACAGAAAAATAAATATTGGTGAGATGAATGTACCAACGAGAAAGCTGCAGCGCCATCTAACATAATATATTGCAGTTAATTAAATTCGAGTTTTCTGAGTAAAACTCATTATTGCAAAAATAGATAAAACAATCTGAATAAAAAAATTGATAGTTTTTTACTGAATGACCGATTACTGTTGAGTTTGATAAAAAAATAGGCGATATAGGCTATATATATAACAGCGTACTTTATATAAGAAGAAAAGAAAAACACGTGTTATCGTCTCTACGAAAAGCAGAGAAGAAATTGACGCCTAATAGCATTTACTTATTTCATGTAGAAAGAAAAAAGTAAATGATAAACGTTATTTTTGTTGGCCGATATTAATTGTAAGAGAGTGGTAATATTTCTATACAATACGTATATAGGATGATTTTTCTATTGCTTCTTGTTGTTATAATTCTACTAATATGGTATACGAAAATGAAATATTTTACTCTTCGTGGTCCAATACCTGGTTTGTCACCTCATTATTTCTTTGGCAATACAATTCAGTCTGGATTGGTATTGAAAGACTTGAGTCTTCATGAAGTTTACAGGACATTCAAAAGTCGTTTTGGTGATGTTTTTCAATTTTGGCTTGGACCTTGGCGTGTCATTGTTGTAAGTAATATTATTGATGTACAACACATATATACTCATCGCAATATCTACGAGCAAGGTGATATTCTGGTAGAACAATTCAAGCTATTTCTTTATGATGCTCTCATTTGTCTGAAAGGTTAGTTTTTCTTCTTTTCTTACTGAAGATTTCGTATCATCATTTGTGTAGGTGCCAAATTCAAACGACATGCCTCACTCACAATACCCTTATTTCGTCGTAATAAGATCATTCCAAATTTTGACTTGATTATTGATTGTACTGATAAATTATTGTCACAATGGCGCTCCGCTCCTTCAAATCATATCCATCTCGATATCGGTCAACAGTGTCGCAATCTTCTTCTACTCATATTTGGATTTCTTGCATTTGACTACGATTTGAAGACATTCGATAATAGTGATCATAATGAACTCACTCGAGCACTTAAAGATTTCTTAGAAAGTATCTATCCTGTTTTCTTTTTACCAAAAGTTGTATCCATTATCTATCTGCGATTGAGTCGTCGATATCAACGAGCACGAACTGTTATTCAACAATATGTATATCGAATAATCGATCATGAATTAATTGATTGTTCAGAAACGATAGCAGAGCGTAAGAGAACAAGTTTAATTGCCTCGTTGGTTTCCGCATTACAAAATGATGAAAAAACAGAAATGATTAAAAGTGAAGAAGAAAAAAAAGGTTAGATTTATTTCTTATAGTATATCATACTAATAGTAATCGCTCATTTATCTTTATTTCAATATAGGTCTCAATCGCAGTGAAGTGCTGCATGAAGTGTTATTCTTTCTTTTAGCTGGTTATGAAACAACGTCGACTGCTCTAACATGGTTCATACATTTAGCAAGTAAGCATCCACGAGTCCAACAAAAGATCAAAGCAGAATTATTAGAAAATAATTGTAAGGAAGATTTGTCTCTGGAACATCTAGATTCATTAGGTTATCTGGATTGTGTCATCACGGAAGTATTACGCTTTTGTCCACCAGGTGATAGTTCAGCTCGTACATTAACAATGGATGACCGTCTACCTGAGAGTGGTACTCAACTATATGCAGGCGACGAAGTACTTGTTCCATTTATGAATCTCGCACGAGATCCTCGATATTGGTCTATTGATCCAGAATTATTCTATCCTGAAAGATTTCTAGGCGAAGACAAAAATCATCAATCCTATGCATTATTACCATTCGGCGGGGGACATCGTCAATGTATTGGACAGGATTTAGCTCGATTTGAACTGAAAGTTATTATAGCAAGATTAATGCAACATGTAACATTTGGAGATGGTGGTCCGGAAGTCAACGCAGGTGGATTTGTTCAAACAGTAACTATCATGCCTAAACATGTTGGTGTTACCGTTCAATTCGATTAATAAAATTAACATATTTACATTTTTTTTTATCAATAGCCTTGTAACACATCTAATCAAAAATATATACTGCATTAAACAGTACATCATCATGCTTTTACTACTAAA